AGAGACTTGATTTCTGCGACTTGCTCTTCCTGCAAAGGCGATGACAAAGAGCCACAGTCTGTTCTCGACAGCAAAACTGAAACTTCGAAAGCTCCAATGCTTGCTGCTTGCAGTGTTCCTCGTAAGAACAACAAGAGTAGTAGAGCGGCAGCAGCATCTACAACTCGGCAAACATATCCCTAGCATGACCACCCTGCCAGTCCTAGTATAACTTGGCACGAACCACGAGAAGAAGTTAAACCCTACACCCTAAACACAGTGCCCTTTAAAGGAACCCTTATAGTACCCTTATAGTACCCTTTAAAGGAACCGTTAAAGGAACCCAAGATAAGGTACCCTAAACCCTAAACCCAACCCTTGACTGCTGCCCACGGGAACCTCACGCAGGTCTCCACTGGCACCCATCGGTTGTTGCCATGCTCCCACCTCTGGGGCTCCGGATATAATGTATATAGGGGACTTAATAACTAGAACAGGGTTTGCGGTATGTTATACTATAGCTATGGAACCCCCAAAACCCGGTTCTAATTGTTTAGGCCTCTATAGTAAAGCTGCTGTGCCTCTTGGATTTACATAGGAGTTTCCGAAAAGTTAGGGGTACCTTATATTATAAGGATCCTACTATTCAGGGTACTACATTAGGGTCCTCTATTTTCGGAAACTCCCACATCCTGAATTCATCAGAAGCTCAAAGTCTGAACCCTAAACCCTAAACCCTAAACCCTAAACCCTAAACCCTAAACCACCCCAAAGTCCCCCCCGGTTGAGGAAGCTGAGGATCCAGAAACTCTAGGGGCCTTAATAAGTAGAATAGGGTAGCAGAGGGTGCCTTTAAAGGGCTCCTTAAAGGGATCTACAGTAAGGTTCTATAATGTAAGGGCCTGAATAATGTGCAGAATAGGGTTTTGGGGCCCAGTATACTATACTTATAGTACGGAACCCCCCAAATAGGATTGGCTTTTTTTTAGGCCCCTAAGATTGAAGAGCTCCATGCAGCTTGTCAAGATTGTTCTCTCCAGTGTGGGGGAACTCCACATGCTGCAAGCAAGTCGCCTTGCACCATTGGCGCTTCTGATGACATACCTGGCATTTGGCAGAAATCGCTTCGGGTTTAGGATGTGGCTGCGGGTAGACTCCTTGGTGCTTCTCCTTGCATGTTGACCCTAGTGCAATGCGCACGTCATGACTGAAACTTTGCACTTGGCGACTGGAAGGGTTCGCGCACTAGCTGCGATGGTTATATATGCTGAAGATGAATGTGATAATGGTGGGTAACCATAATACGAGAAACATTACCTTGCATTCTGAGCGGAACTGGCTGGCCACGAACGCCGCAGAATCGTCCTCTTCCACTAATCAAACTGCATGCACATCGCCCATCATCAAGTCCTCGAAATGCCGCCCAGCTGCTTGTATTCGAGCTTCTTTGAGCCCGATGGCCCAGCCTCAGGTACAGTGACGAGTGTCTTACTCCTTTTTGCTGCCATTACTACTGCCCTTTCTTCGAGAAGCAGTAGTGCGCTTTGCTTACGACTACGACTAGCCCTGGCAGGCAGTCAAAGCGGAAAAGCAGCCTGAGGGCTAAAGAAGGATCAGCAGCAGCGATAGCAGCATCAGGAGTAGCCGTAGTGACAGTACTTGCCATAGTAGTAGCGGTGGTGGTGGTGGTGGTGGTGGTGGTGGTGGTGGTGGTGGTGGTGGTGGTGGTGGTGGTAGCAGTAGCAGTAACAGTAGCAGTAACAGTAGCAGTAGTAGCAGTAGTACTAGTAGTAGTAGTAGTAGTAGTAGTAGTAGTAGTAGCAGTAGTAGTAGTAGTAGTAGTAGTAGTAGCAGTAGGAGTAGTGGTAGTAGTAGTAGTAGTACTAGTAGTAGTAATAGTAGGTGGTAGTAGACCCGTAAACCCTAATCCGTCCAAAGTCCCAGAGCCTCAACCTCAGGGCGCGAAGGATCCGACCTCTTCGGGTGGGCCCACATCGGAGACGTCAATCTCGTCACTCTTCCACAGGGGGTAGTGGACCGGCTTCAGGGCGAATGCCTGTCACAGCAGGAGCAGTGGGTGTGAGAGAAGGAATAGGAATAGGAGGGGGAGTAAGAAAGAAGGAGGAAAGGAGGTTTACCGTGATAAAGGTCTCGGGTGAGCGGGGTGAATTTTACGCAAGTTCAGACCCCACAACGAGCTGGGGTGTGAGGAGCTTCGGGATTCCGCAACAAATCCCAGACACCGGTCCGCTGAGACCCCGAAATCTGAATCGCACGAAACAGAAATGCTGAAGACACTACATGCTCTCAACATTAAGCCTTCCGAGTTTTGGGATTTCGCTGGCCCAAACACGGGTGTAGTGCGGGGGGCATAGCCCCAAACCCCTGCGTCGAGTTCATCACATCACCCTGCCTTGCGAGCATCCCAGCACCCAAGCGCCGGACAGGCACCCACGATGCAAACCTCCTTCACGAGGCACTAGGGTACTTAGAGCTCAGGGTATCATGCCAATATAGGGGCATAAATGATTAGAACACGGTTCGGGTGTACACCAAGTCAGCCAACAGATCGATGTTCTAACATTTTCTACTCTACCACCCGGCTGGGCCCACATCTCGGCATGCTTACTGGAACCACCCCGAGACTACTTCGCTCGAAGACCCACCAAAATCTGCACTAGAAGACCCAGACACTACGAAGAAAATGCACGTTTGGAAACCATCCGAGGGCCGAAGGCCCATGGCCCGTAACCTCAGAAGAACTCGAAAACCATGAACATGGTGGAAGTGGTATTCTGATGGGGTTTTAGGGTGTAGGGTAGTAAGGTCAAGGGTTAAATCCATGTTCCACAAACTTCCCCAAAAGGTGCGCTTCTAATGAAATGAGGGTTGTGCTTTGTCGTCTACATACTCGACATTCCGTCATGCTTGCTTACAGAGCACTTCATACTGTTCAAGTAACTCTGAATAACCGGTTTAATTATTGAATAATGCTTGATCATCTGGCTCTCCTCCTTGACCTCCATTTCCCATGTATTAATATCCCTCATAACAGTATCAAACCCTCCGTGTCAAACACTCCGAGACAGATTGGATGTGATTAGGTGTTGAGTTGGTGTGGCAACTCTGCGAAACTCTGCTTTGTCAGTGGAACAGTCATGTCCTTTTCTCTTCACTTGGATGTTGTGAAATGTTGTGAATGCATTCTGCTCCAAATACTGTACGTGTCTGAATTAATGTACTGCCTTTGTCATATCTTATTACGGTGCAACTTCTGTAAATGCTTCTCCTGAGGAACCTTGTTCTCGAGAAGACTTATTTGCCGACCAGACTTTCGATAATGATCTCATCATTTTGCAAAGCAGTATTAACCCATTGTCCGAAAGCTCGTTCATCAACAACTGCGCAACATAGTTGAAAAGCTTGCCGATTTTATGGCTGAGGTTTCTCGGCTTTTGGTTGCTCTGATTCTTATTCATGCTTTGTGTTGAACTTTTTGGGGAACTGCTGCCTTAACCGTCAGTGGAGTTCCCTTTTCTGGGAGTGGTGTTCAGCGCTCTAGACGAGGGTCAGTTTTGGGCATGCCCAGCAGAGTACATCACTGTCAAGATAAGGACCCGAGAAAGCAACCCAGAAGCCCTAAACCCTAGCCCTAGGCCAAACACATCCTCCGAGCCTCCCCCCAGGTCGTGTCGCAGGAGACTTGAAAGCGATACATCACACGGGGCTCTGGCTTTCCTAAGCCAGGCTTTAGTCTAGGACTGACTAGTGCAATACAAAGACAGTGTTCATTCACATTTTTGGAACAGGGTTTGGCGTATATTATATTGTACTATAGTGACATAGGAACTACACAGGGATAGTGCTAGTATTTAATGTTCCTTACAACGATGAACTTTCTTGCTTATCCCATGGTTTGCGATCCTAATCCAGAGCCATTCAATGCTGACAAAGCCTTGGCGATACTAGTTACTTGGCTCACATCGCAGCTTCACCACTCCCAAACAAGACGATGCTGTGCAACTATTGTCAGGGCTTACATAATCCCAAATTGCACGGCCTTCATCCAGAACCCGACTTCATCCTGAACCCGAAACCGTCTCCGTGGATCAGCATCTCAATGTGCACTACATGCTTGAGAAAATCAAAAAGCTCCGAGCGCGGCGCATTGCGGCTACGAGTCAGTGTCTGAACTGAAAAACTTCCTACACTTTAGGGCCTATGGTTTAGGATCCAGGGTACAGGGGCTTGAGATTCATGTGGGTAGTTCTCTACATTAGGGTTTCGAGGACAGCCCGGCAGAGAGAAACTCTGAAGAGAGTGAAAGTCAACACAGCTCGGGTTAAGGGCTTGTAAGTCCTGCTGGGAATGGTAGACCTAAAATACAACCTGAAATGTTCTCGCTTCCAACACTGAAAACCCACATCCAACCGACATCTCGCACACCACACTTTGCACTCATTTTGACTAGGCCCCAATGAACGTCGAGAAGAACAATCAGAAATAAGATGCCAAAGGTGACAACGATTTAAAACACAACTCAAATCCTTACCGTCCCTCCAACCCGAGAGAGCTAATATAGGGGCCTTAATAATTAGAATATGGTTTTGGGGGCCGTTATAATAAGCAACCCCCAAAATAATATTGGCAAGTCCAAAACCTGAATGCATCCCGAGTGGTGGGTCGCTGCAACCGAAGCCTCATTCTTCACCTTGTAACTCGATATGCTAGCACCCAAATTGCACAAGCGACGTTGAACAGACATCTTTGAACTTTGCATCCGAACATCTTGCACAGGAAGGGTTTAGGCTTTCGCTTTGCGCAGTCCCCATGAGCAGGACATCGGCATGGTATAAAACTCTTTGGGGCCCCAGAAGAGCCCGAGAATGTTGGAACCACATAAAACACTGTAAAAACTTTCGGAAACCCCAGAAACCCACATGAGGCAGCATCTATTTCAAGTCTAGAACACCGCTAAAACCCCTGTCCGTAACCGCTATGAAAAACCACGAGGCCGCAGCTTCGAGCTCTAAGAGTTTCCCACGAAGGGCCTCTGCCAAAGCCTGTGTTAATGACTTTCTGAGGGTTTGGGGGGTTTTTATGAAGGGATCAATCGCTGAATTTAGCGTGCTAGAAGACTCCTGGTTTTATTTCAGGGTTCTAGAAGGGATTACGAGTTTCGAGTACAGGCTCTACAAAGGATTGGCGCCTTTAAGGATTCTACAACGGCGCTGTCATGCAATAAAGCGTGCTGTGCAAGGGTTTGCGATTTGAGGTTTAGGAGGGTTTGGGGCTTTACTAAGGCTCAGTGGGGATCAGGGGTTATTAAGAGGGTTCTATGAAGCTTCTATAACCTTACGGGTCCAGGCACCTAATAGTCATGTACTCCCCCAGGTAGTAACCTACAAAAGGACTATCCATAATCCAGGTCCTTTGGACCCTTTGAGTCAGGGTTGTGGAGTTGAAGTGCAGCGTTGTAGAATTTAGGGTTTGCAACTTACGTCTCAGGATTGCTAGGACTCGGTTGAAGGATTGGGGCATAGTATTTGGGGCTTCGGGGTTTTAAGGTTGAGAGCGTCCCCCGTTGGTATGGACTGCCTAAATGTTCAGGATTTCGGGATCGATTGCACACACACACACACGCGGGGCCTACATTAAATAATTACCTATACAGTTTTGGCGGGGCTCCCTATTATAAGTATACCCCACAAGCCCTGGCGGGTCCATCAGAATGGCGCTCACCCGCTAACCTTTCGAGAGGTCTGCAGTTTGGGTTTGGGGGCCATTATATAGGGTCTTGGGGCCCAATAGACCATAATAAGGAAATAGTATAGGTAATGGTTATGGCCCCTCTGGTATGTAAGGTTGTCTATACTTATAATAGGGAACCCCCAAAATAGTATAGGTAATCGTTTAATTCAGGCCGCTATGTCATCATCACAGAAGGTCATGCAGACAGACACACCCACCCACCCACCCACCCACACCCACACACACACTGCCGCGCTCTGGCCTCCGTTTGGCTCGCCGACCGCTGGCGTGCAGCAGCCGCCTAAGACCAGCAGTTCTACAATAGTTGGGGTTTAGGTTTTAAGGTTGAAGGCACCTTACTCCAATGCACCAGTATGTTAGGGGCTTCAGAGGAATGCCACAAAAGAGTTGTCGAATCATGTAAGTTTGATTCCCAAAGTTCCGGAAGGCCTGTTGCACAAGTTGCGTATCCCTGCCATCTCCGCCAGGATGCCGACTTGAGTTTTGGGAGCCTACCTTAACCTACCAGAACCTACTTTTTTGTAGGGTCTCTAGAAAACCTTATTAGGCTTGATAATGAGAACCTACAAAAAAAGTAGGGTTTAGGAGTTCTAGGTATGCTGGATATTCTGAAAGCCCAAACCTTGAAGCCCCAGGCAGGAACTCCGCCTGTAAGCCGCGCAACACACCAAGCCCAAAGCCCTAAACCCCCTAGGGTTTAGGGTTTATGCTGGAAGTGCCAACCCCATGTCGCCCTAAACTCTAAACCCTACGCCCTCAGTCAATCCTAAACCATATAGGGGCCTTAATAGTAATTATTATTATTATTATTGTTATTATTATTATTATGATTGTTATTATTATTACTATTATTAGTATTGTTATTATTGCTATTACTACTAGGACAGGATTCTGGGACCCTAAGCCTAACCCCCAAAAACTCCGACTCCGCCTCGAAAAGCTCTTTCTCGCGGCTTAGCAGCTGCCGGCGCAGTGACTGCACCTACGCCAAGCGGTTTAGGGTTTAGGGTTTAGGGTTTAGGGGTTTAGGGGGGGCGTACCTATAGTCTCCATTGTAGTTCCTTTTTTTGGCTAACCAAAATCTCTATTATAGGGTCCTAACCATAAAACTGGTTAACCAGAAAAAGGAACTACAAAGGAGACTATAGGTATACCTCAACCCTGAACAACCTACCTTTTTGGGGTTCCTTATTATGATTTCTATATATAGATCCTTAGAGATGTGGGTTCTTCCGGGTTAAGGTAGGGAATAGGGCTCAAGGCTTGCGGGGCACATGCGCTTGATGGCTTCACGGAGTTTTGGGGGGTTCTCGGACTAGGCTGGAAAAGCGTGTCCACTGGATCCGCACTTGCGCATGTGCTGAATTGTACGGATGTCTATGAGTCTATACATACAAGCTCATGCGACTGCCCAAGAAAAAGAGTGTTTACAGGAGCGTCTGAATGCTGAGTTGGAGGCCAAAGGCCTGCGGATTCAGGGTCTACGCTTCGCCGGCTTTACAGCTTCAGCAAAGACGCAAGGTGTGGTTGTTGGCATGGGAGCTACTGACGTCCATGACATGAAGATCTAAGTAGGGCCAGGAGCCGATGAACTCAGGTCTAGTCCCTACATTAGGAGACCCTTCAAGAAGAAACAACACGAATCATAGACATCCTGTACCTACAACCTGAACCCCTGTGACGACAACCAACACCGTCAATGCCATATCGCGAAGCACTACAGCAACCATAAACCCCAAACGTATCATGGACAGCCACCTCATCGTCAGCCACCTGCCGAGCCTGCGGCAATTCGAGAGAAGAGTCGATCGCATGTAGAGTGTGGGGTCTGGGACGACTTACGTTACGTTGTGACAACATGGGGGTCAGCCTAAAACAGGTATGTCTCTTGAGATGAAACTACGGAACACTGGCAATGTAAGAACAACTCACAGTGCTATGCTACGAACCTCGCACAATCCTGCAAGCGCGTGCAGGCCTTGGATTACAACGGTTTTCTGGTTGCGATGTTGATCCACGTTCTTTGCGAAGGTGACAGGACAGGCTCATTGGCATGTAGCTTTTGACCTTGGGTTTGACTTTGATTAAGAGCTTCAGAAGCTGGCAGGTGCATCGTCCGACAGCTTCGGTTTTACGGTCAGCGTCTGTGAAAGGTTCTGGGTTGGAGATCTGAACCAGGAACCGAAGTCTAGAGCGCAAGCCGTGCTTTCCAACTACAGTTGCGATACAAAGTGATTCCCTTTGAATGCTAAGGGCTAACCTTACAAACCATGTACATGTAGATGCATGGGTGCGTTTGTGTGTGTGTGTATGTACAAGCATACATGCATACATACATACATACATACAGACAGATAGACAGACGGACAGACATACGCACGCAAGTACATGCATACATATATTTGTACGTACAGGCATGGCTCCATGCAGGCCTGCATGCAGGCATGAATGATGCAGGCAAGCCCAAGAATTTATCAAATCTGAAAACCCTAAAACCCTGAACCCGCAAATGTCAACCATAAACCCCTAAAAGCCTAAACCCCTAAATGCTAAACCCCTAAAGCTCAACCTTTTGTATTCTAAGAGGGCCTTTGAGAGCTCAGCCGTCAGCTCCTCCGACCGAAGACGCTCCCTGCAACGGACTGATAGGGGAATGCAGGGGCCTTAAAAAACTAGAACAGGGCTACTTTAAAGGGAACTATAGGGTTCCATAATCAGGGTATTATGGGGTTTAGAATTTAGGAAGGCAGGGGCCTTCATAAACTAGAATAGAGTTCCCTTCAACAGGTTCCTTAAAAGGGCTCCATAGGGGATCTATAGTGGGGTTCCAAAGGGGCCGGCATAAACTAGAACAGGGTTCCTTCATTGGAGGGACCCATAGGTTTCCATGACAAGGGTACTGTAGGGTTCTACAATGGGGTTACTGCAAGGGTTACTATACGGGCTTGGTATAGGGGCCTTAATTATTAGCATAGATTCTGCGCCCCTGTATAGTATACTTATCACAGGGACACCTAGGGAATAATATTGGTGATAGTTGATGATTTCTTTGGCTTCTATACTATCAACATGGGACCCTAAAGAATTCAGAATAAGGCTACTGCAATGCTTCCTTTCGGGGTTACTATAAGGGTTGCTATAAGGCTTCCTTGAAGAATTTTTAGAAGGGCTGCTATAAGGCTTCCTTGAAGGATTACCATCATGGTTGCCAGAAGTGCTACTTTAAGGACTTTATAAGGGCTGCTCTTAGGCTTCAGTATGGCGAGCTCAACGATTAGAGCAGGGTTCCTACAAGGGCTCCTGCACGGGATTATGATCAACTATGGTGTTGTTGTATAACTGTACTACGGAACCCCGGGGATAAGTATCACTAATGGTTCAGCCCCCCTGTCTCACACTATTATAGATTATACTGTTTAATATATAGGAGAAGGCGATGGCAAAAAAATCCAAAAGGGATACTCCCTGAACCCTAAACCCTAAACCCTAAACCCTAAACATCCATAATTAGGGGAGGTTACGCCTTGGGGATTTAGTGCCTTCTTGAAAGGGTGCTTACGTGTTGTAAAGGGCTCTCTCAGGAGTTTGCCGGGATCTGCTGTAGGTGTTCCTAGGGTTATCGGGCGCAGTGTTTTAGAGTTTTAGGGTTTAGGATGCTTCAGGTTTAGAGGCTCGGTGGTTTAGGGGATGTGGTTTGAAGGTTTAGCTGTTGGGAATCTACAGCTTGAGGTTAAGGGTTAAGGCAACGGTTAAGGGTTGGGGCTTAGGGTAAGGGCTTTTGGCCGTAGGGGTTTGGGACCTATTGCCTATGGCCTATGGGTCAGGGTTTGGGTGTTGTCCGGCTTGTATGGTTTTAGGCTTTAGGTTGTAGTGTTCAAGTCCTTGTAAGCGAAGGCGGGGCAAGCTATGAAACTGCAGGTACTTGTTCATAAATGACCAGTCCGGCGGGGGCCTTACAAGTACAATGCCCTTGGTAGCATGGCACGAAATCCCTGAACCCTATCATAAACCCGAAACCCTAAACCCTGTTATAAACCCTGCCTACACCCTAAACCCAAAGCCCTAAAGATATCCGGGATCCGCGTCCAACAAACGCGAGGGACCGACTCGGACCATCAGGATTGCGCGTATCCGCACCTGCCTTGCCAAGACCGTAACTGCAGCGGGCACACAGGTAGCTCTCTATATTGGGTTGGCTTTTGGGATCCTTTCAATAAGGGTGCCGTACTTTTGGAGGTACCCAAAATGGCTACACTCTAAGTCCAGACCCCAAGTCCCGCAACCTTTCAAAACGAGGAAGGTAATTGGATTCAGGTAGTACGACCCCATGCAGCCTGGCCAACTCCTCGTGCGCGAGGTCCAACCGCCGACTGAGATCCTGGACATGCACTAAAGATACGGTTTCTCGAATTTCCATTGAAGGGCTTTATAGGGCCCAAATCCCTTATATAACCCTAAAACCCCCCGAAACCTTATGCACGCCCCTAAACCCCTACTTAAGGCCTTTGGGGCTCAAGGTTCGGTCTGGTCTTTGGAATGGAGGAATCTCAGTGGCACCAAAAGCGAGATAGGGGCCTTAATATTTGGAATAGGGTTGTGGAATACATTATACAAAACTTAGACTGATAATGAGGAGCCCTCGGGAAGCATGGTTAATCAATGAGGACCCTGCATGTTTCAGCATGCATCCTAGTTGGGGAACCTATTGCTAGTAATCCGTAGGGACGGCACAAAGCGTGTATATTACAATCGCGACGTGCCCAAAGCCCTAAGACACAGCAGTGACCGAAAATCATGTCAATCTGTTGACCCAACATGTCCACGTGGCATCTGCGCCGACACAGCCACAATCCTTACGGCTCAGGTTCTTCAATCCCAGCACCCTGTACAGTGCCGAACTAGGCTGTCCCGTTTGCAGGGCTTTAGGGTGGTGCATAAGCGTCTGCAACAAGCGACCTTGTACATGTGCCCTCAGCCCTAAACCCTAAACCCTAAACCCTATACCCTAAACCCTAAACCCTAAACCCTATACCCTAAACCCTAAACCCTGAAAGCCTGCCCTCTCGGATCAGGAAACAATGCCCCTGGTCCCTTACACATCCCTCACGGCAGGGCACATGCAAACCCAGCTCAAGGTCCTTCCAACAAACCTTCCATGAAGAACTCAAGCCTCAATGATTTATCCCCAAAACCCTAAACCCCTAAACCCCTAACGCTAAAATGTAGCTTGGGCATGTCCTCAGGCAGATGGGTCGGCAGCTTCTCCTCACATGCTTCTTAAAATTATGGGTGCCGTGCTTGGTGTTTCCGTAAATAATACAGGGGGTCCGACTACTTAGGGTCTATACTAGGGTCCCTTACTTTCTGACAGTCCCACATGGCGATGGTAGCTTGAAGCTTAAAGGTTTTACGGCCTCGAAACGGGTTTGAGAGGACTAGGAGTGGGCTCGTCAACATAATTCGGCACCAGAACATACCCCAAACCGTATCAAATTATTAAGGTCCCTAGTCAGGCTTCTTGGTTTTATGAAGTTGTGGGGTTCAAGGTTTCGAGCTCTCTAGGCGTTGTCTCTGCTCCCAGACCAGAAACCAGAACCAGAGATCCTGACCCCCCAGATTCTCATATTCTCGAAGACCTATGATCCCGCAAGCCACGCAAAAGGACTGACGTTGTTTATAGTTATCGTATGCGGCTATGCTATACATTATGTATTACATGGTAACTATTGAAGTCCCAAAATACCATAGCCTCGAAACCCTGACTTCCGAAGAGAGCCTTGCGAAGAAGTACCACTGGGCCCACTGCTGGGCTTGCAACGGCAGGCGCGGCCGGGGTGGGGCCCGTGCCTGTCCACCAAAAATCGTGCAACGAAGACTGTCGAATTGAATGGAGCTTGAACCCTAAACCCTAAACCCTAAACCCTAAACCCTAAACGCCTCAGCAGCTTTAGACTTCTTTTCTCCGGGGCATCGGGTGTTAGGATACATACGGGAATAAAGAGATCTGTTGCAAGCTTTTGGTAAGGTTTGGTGCACTCGATGTAGGTGCACTAAAGGGTGTAGATCTGGGAGTTTTGGGCTTTGCGTGGGAGGGTTTCTCCCATATGCTTGAGGTCTTCGCCATGGCTTAGGCCCCTCATTATAGAAGAGTACTGACGAGGATTCCTCATAATTACTATACGATATGATACCGTCAACCATATTCTAAGAATTCATGCCCCGAAACTAAGAACTGAGCCATGTAAAACCCTTTCAAACCCTGTTTTGATCACCAAGGCCCCCCTTATGAGAGCAGATGTGATGATGGCTGGAGGACTCGCGCTGGCGGGCCTGAGGCATCGGGCCGGTTGGCAAACCTGGTCCTGAAGCCATAAATCCTGAATCCTACTGGGTGTAATGCCCTTAACTTCGACAAGCACCAAAAACACTAAACCCAGGCTCCAAGCTCAAAACGGCAAAAACCCTAAATTCACCGGACGCTTTTTGGCGATGCGCAGCAACATGGGTGGGTTGCAAGTCTCTGCTTCTTTGCCACCGCATGTACCGATGAAAACCGGGTTCTTGGTACGGGATTTACTTTAAGTTACCATAACAAAGAAACCATATTTAATACTATGGATCCCTATTGCGGTAATGCAGATCGAATCCCTTAGCAAGAACCCAGAAGATCGTCTGCAGGATCGATCCATGCCGGGTTTTGAGATTTAGGGATTCAGGTACGAGCTTAAGGTTTAGTAGAGTTAGGGATTTTGATATTTAGGGAATCGGGTAATGATATTAATAATGGTAGCATAGAGGCCCAAAAAATTTCCAATACCAATTTGGACGGCTCCTTGTCATAATTATAGTATAATCCCCCCAAACCTTATTCTAATTATTAAGGCCCCTATGTTATGAACTTACGGCTTAAAGATGTAGGATTGAAGGTCAAGGCTCATAGGTTCAGGCTTAAGTGATGAGAAGGGATGGCTTGGAATATGGTTTGGAAGAGATTTTGGATATGGGAGACTTTGGCATTCCACAACCAGGACAAGGAGAGAATTGCCATGTTACTGCATTCGTCTCATCTAACAGGGAAAGCGCACGGTTGCTGTAACTACATAATGCTTGGAGTGTACAGGGTGCATAATCCCGTACCAAGCATGGCACCATGATGTAAATCCCTACGTATCAGGCACTAAAACCCTGAAGGCATCTGCATCCTTGTCATAGGTTACCACATCCTCCATCAAAAGCACTCAGTGCACAGGCTCTCCTTAATACTATTCCGTAGGGTTCCTGATACAGTCAGGAGTATAAAAGGAAGCAAAACCTCGCTCTACTTATTAAGCCGCCTTAAACGACTCTGGTAGCCCGTCGAGTAGCCCTCAGAAGAGCCCTTGAAAAAAGCTTTAAAGGAACCCATTTCAAGTATTACAAAATTCATAAACAAGCATCACAAGGCCCCTAAAGCATCCTGAGCTGGAGATCCTCGTCCCCTCCCCAGCCCCGGCGTCGGAGGCTCCTTTGGAGACATCCAGAAACCGAGGGAAAAGGGGGAAGGTTCCTCCTAGTCGGACAAAGCAGGGGCGGCGCTCCAAGTTCGTCGCATGTTGATGGCTGCTGGCCCGAAGGTACTAAGACAGCATCGCTTACTTTGCCACACGGCTGCCACGTGCATGTCAAGGCTTCCGGGATCTTGGGGCTTGTGCTGCCGCAGTCTATATTATCAGCCTTCCATAGCCTGGAGAAGGATTTCGGCTTTGAATGAGACCTTTGGGCGTCTGGTGAACTCCAGCTACAGGCAGGGTTGCAATGCATCCGAACCGAAAACTTTACGGCCGCAACTTCGCCGAGGCTTGGGGCATGGTTTATGTTTGAGAGCTCTTTTGCGTCTGCACGATCGTCCGGCCTACGTAAGCCTACCTAAGGCGAGCAAACTCAGCCCGTTTTCGCATCTCCGCTTACAAGGAGAAAACACGAAGTGAAAGACTAAACCCCTGTCATCTCACACAGAGCCATGCAAGCGGAAAGCAAAGCGTGGAAGATTCTCGACAGCACCTTGTTCCGCAAATGTGAACTTGTTTGTACCGTGAGTCAGCAGGCCATCCATGTTAGACGACCGTAGAAAACCGCGCAGCTTCAAGTCAACTCAGGTCATCAATATGTTTACCAATGGCAAACTCATTGTTGCGGCACCCCTCTAAAGCGACGTTCACGGTAACCCTTGGCCCAGTCAGATTGCACCATCTGCAGCCACAGTCGGCATAAAGCCATACCTCTTTGCTTGAGGTCCCGGGCCTGCCTGAGCGTCCATGCACCCAGGACGACGTATCAGAGTCGAGCCAGTGCCTGCCGTATCTTCTCTGTTTCCAGCTACTGCAGTTGTGCCATCCATGCCCCCGCCTCATCCACGCCCCCGCCTTGGACCTGTGTTCCACGAGCCCTGGTAACCCCCCTCTTTCTTGCTTTGCCAGGTGCATACCAGCTGGTGTCTTTCCACGAACCAATCCCTTCAAAGGAGCTCGGGCATGCATCAACCATGTCTGCAGGCTCTGTGGTCCTCCAAGACCGATCCCTTTCATCGGGTTCCAAGTCAGTGTCTCTACCATCCGCTCCTATCCCAACCTGAGCTGTGTCTCCCTCCTCATCAGCAGCAATATGCGTCTTCACAGGAGGCTGCAGTGTTGAACTCACCTCATTGCAGGGAACTGCCACTACAGTGCGTCTTCTACCTCTACCTCTTCTCGTTTTGCCCTTCTGGTCCTCATCCACAACCATAGTAGGTGCACTACCTGCACCATTGTGTGCGTCCTCCAGGTGCTGCAGCCTGTCTTGAAGCATGCAGCAGCGATCCGTGAACTGTTGGATGACCACCCTCTGCGCCGTAAGCTTGTCCTCGATCTGCCCATAGGCCCTCTCGCACATACCTTGCAACCTCGTCAGGCCTGTCACTCAAAGCCTGATTGCCCGATCGCTGTATCAGCTCCGGTTGGGCCGCGGGCAACCCACGAAGAATATCAAGGTCCATGCCAACGTCGGCGCTCGCCGCACTCAAACCCGGTGGGCTTGTATCATCACCCGGTTCCATCTTTTAGGCAGTGAGAGGAGGCGGAGTCGGGTTTTTGCTGGAGCCCTTGGGTCACTAGGGCTTCCAGCTTTGAGAGTTTAAGCTTGGGGATGTTTAAGAGCTTAAGGCTTGCGAACATGTGTTTTTGAGAAAGCAGTTGGGCTACGCACGATCCAGTGTGGCCTTTGGAGAGCAGCCCTCGTTTGTCCGAGGCGTGTGAAGTGTGAGACGCAAGCTCTCGAAGGCCCGCTGCTGCACACATCAGATTCTCGCATGTATGTTTAAGGGTTTATGGTTCAGGGCTCATCCTCCGCCTGCCACAGGAGTAAAAGCAATGCAACGCGATCGCAATCACCATTACGAGCATGTCCACGGGTCACCGCAGCATTTAAACTTCTACTACTGCTACTGCAAGCAAAGTTCATTTATTTCCCGACATGCACGTGTACTTAACATTGCCAAAACACATAGCACTACAACCAACATTTTACGGACGAGTGTACTATGAATACCGAGAGTTGATCTTGCTGATATTGCAATAGTTCAGCTTCTCATAGTAGTCATGCTCAGCAGCAGCAACAACAATGACAGCAACAACAAATGTCCTTCGTCGCTTTAATTTAGAGTAATGGCAGTCATCGAATAACTAGTCGTCGTCGTAGCCGTCCTAGCACTGAGACCATTGCTAGAACTGGTACTAGCGGGACCAGTGCTAGAACTGGTACTGGTACTACTGCTCGTAGCAGTAGCAAAAGCCAAAGCAGTGTCAGAGTCATAGGAATCGGAATAGCAACAACTGGAGCAGCAGTAGTAGTAGTAGTAGTAGTAGTAGTAGTAGTAATTAGTAGTAGTAGTAGTAGTAGTAGTAGTAGTAGTAGTAGTAGTAGTAGTAGTAGTAGTAGTAGTAGTAGTAGTAGTAGTGATAGTACTACATACGTACGTACAACTAACATCGTCGTAATCGTCGTCGTCGTAGTCGTAGTGGTAGTCGTAGTAGTGGTGGCGGTGGTAGTAGCAGCAGCAGCAGTAGCCGCAGCAGTAGCAGTAGGAGTAATAGTAGTGGAAGTCTTGGTGGCAGTAGCGAGGCAGCAGCTTTGGCGGCAGGAGGCGGAGCGGCGTAGTCATTGATCTCTACACCGTGATCTCTGGCACTAGACTGTAGTCCCTATACGCGATCCTTCTGCCTATGAAATGGCTCAGGCTACTCACTGTTGCGGCCTGACGTGCAGCCCGAGCTTTGGCTCTCAATTGAGGCATCACAGCTTTAGGGTTTAGGGGTTGTGGGTTTAGGGCTTAGGGGTTTAAGAGTTTCGGGCTTAGATTTGAACGACTGTGTTGCAAAGTCTCTGAACTTTTTTGGCAATCCCTGACGCACTTTGCACTGATACACTACTGCCGGAAATTTGGGACCTTAAGCCCTAAGACTCTGAAGAACGGAAACGCCGAAGCCGAAACCCGAAACCCCAATAAACTGCACCTTCAACACAAAACTTAAACTCTGGTACTCTGAGCCCGACACCCTGAAATCCCTACTACGACCCTGAGTCGAGTTCCGCACGCTTTTGCAGGGGCCCCTTTGCCCTCGGTTCAATCAACATGTGTCTTTGCAGCGTCGAGTTCAAGTACCCGGAATTAATGCTAAGCTGCTAAGCGTTCCATCCTAGAAGACACCGAATGCTTCGTGAAGAGAATCCCGAAGCTCTACCTTATTCTACCTCCTAAGCCGAGAAACTCGGTCGGGGTCACAACGGAAAAGGGAGACCAACACCATCTCTAGTCGGCGAGCGAACATCAACATGGTCACCAAAGAAGTGGAACGTACGTGGGACGGCAGCATAAGGTGAGTGCCAACTCAGGCACCAAGAAAGAAACTGGCAACATGTTCTGGCTATCAATCGCTGCACTCACGGTGGCGATCAGGGTTCGCACGTAAGGTGTAAGCGCCTGACTGCAGCGGCTTAGGGTTTAGGGATTAGGCTCGTGGTGATCTAGTATATGGACCTTTCGGACCGAGCAAGAAGCTGGACTGTGTGTGGTGTTCTTCTTGCCTCGGAGCACTGACACAGAAAGATCAGAAATATTCTGCATAGTGGCTTGGAGACTGTGCGGCAGAAACCGGATTTTGGACACGGCCACTGAAATCACAACAGCTGCACACTGTTCGTCCTTGAATACGCAGAGTACATGTAGACGCACATTGCCATGTCAGTGTGCCAGGGTCCGGAAACGAGAAACAGAGACAACGTCTCACCAGTCCCTATGGCCGAGAGCCTGCTGTCACACACCCCTGGACCTGCATTCCGTATGAGTGAAATCTGAAGACCGCAGTCCCAAACTCGAAATGCTACAACACTAACAGGGCAAACTCCAAACACCTCGGCACCTGGCCCTCTTCATCCAGGTCTTTACAGACTGCAGTGGGCTGAAAGTACCTGCTTGGCAACGGAGCATCGTTCTTTTAGATTTGACAGCTTCTACACCCTCGGACTTTCGTTGCTGTGAGCGTGGAGCACCGGTTGCGGGGTTGACGCGTAGACATCAATGTCATGTACGAATATGCGCAGGCATGTATGTCAGTGTGTCGGTAAGCATGCATGCATGTGTTTGGTCCCTGTCAAACAACGCCGTTCTAACTTTGAGCTGCTGACGCCAGACAGTGCGATACAGTGCAGAGGCACATAGCTCTGAATCTCAGTGCGCAATCCCTGGAAGTCATCCCTAAACCCTAAACCCTAAACAACCTGAAGCCCACACGCATATCAAAACGCGCAAGCCTCCAGGCCGGCCATCGGCGGTGGTGGACGACCCGAACATCAGACCACCGACCTGCGTCACGCAGACTGAGCAGCTCCGTCAATGATAGAGCACTGAAGCACATGTGTACTGTAGAGGCCTTAATAAATAGTGCCCGTTGGGCAGGCAAGAACTCAATGCCCGACCCGACTGCCTTTTCCCGGCAGCGCAAACTCTCACGAAACGAACTGTCAGATGCTACCTGATCTGTGAAAAGAATCTGTTCAACTCTAAGCTATTCTGAGAGAAGTGAGTCTGGAGCCCTAGCAACTGGACCAAACCGGACCTGAATGCCCTGACTCCATGCCTTTGAGCAGCATGCTCTGCACACGAACTGCATGCCTGCACATCCACAGTCACTCCCCCAACGAACATTTGCTTCGTTCCATGCTGTTGTGCAGGACAAAATGCCCTGAAGCATGGGGTGCTTCGCGCACTGCTGTCCATGTTTTCAAAGCCTCACTGGCTTCCACAGAACTTACACCTGCGGCGAGCACAAACCTCTTGGTGAGGGTCCAAAGCAGGGCAGTCACGGCTCACATGAACCCTTTTTCCCCAGCGATTAAAGTAGATCGTATCTTGCTTTGGAAATCCCTCCCCTCTGTTGCACACAAAACAAGTCTGACGCCTGCGAATGTCCGAAGACTTGCTAGCTGCCGGACACTCCAGAGACCTGTGAAAGCAATCTCCATTCTTCGTGAAGATCACATTGACCCCCGGCTCATCTGCACTGCAACTATGAATGTCCATCTTCTTGAACCCGCGAGGTCGAATAACCCTATCGATCATAATTCGAGACCCCGCGCGTGTGGGATACTCAACAAACCCATCTGCTCGCACAATCGGACGCTCTTGATCTAGATCTCTACCAGACCCACTGACCTGAACATCGAACTGAGCGTCGCCACTTGACCCGCTGGGCCTTTCAACTTTATCACTAGACCCTGTAGGGATACTCGGGAGTCCTAAACCACAAGGTCCTACTTGGGAAACTCCTGGCTCCACTTCGGGTGCCTTCACAAAGGTCCTATGGGATCCTAAACCCGTAGGGGGGCCTACCGGGGCTTGCACCGGCTCAACTTCCGATGCTTCCGCACGGGTCCTACTGAGATCTAAACCCTTAGGGGGACCTACAGGGAATTGCACAGGCCTCTCCGCAGAGGCTTCCGCACAGGTCCTATGGGGCCCTAAACCTTTAGGGGGGCCTACACGGGATTGCGCAGACTCCATCGCGGAGACTTCAACACGGGTCCTATGAGGCTCTAAACCTTTAGGGGGGCCTACAGTGGATTCACATGTTTTCTGCTGTCCCCTCTGACGCAAGCCCTCCTTGATATCATCTTCAGAGCTTCTTTTCAAAACCTCAACCCTCTCATGCTGAGCACAATCTTCTCCCTGAAACTGTGTCCGAACAGTCACATTCACAACTGGCGAAAATTGAAGAGGCCCTTCCGAAACATGCCGGTCAGAATAACTGCTCTTCTCAGCAACCTTCTGCCCTTGAGTTGTAGGAGTAGTGGGAGTACATTCAGCTGAAATCTGATGCCTGTGGGTATTGCACTTGCACAACCACATGCACCCAATAGCGCCTACAGCCCCAACCAAAATGCAGCCTACAGAAATCATACCCAGCAACAGCCAAAGTTCCATAGTCCCATCAGATTCCTGAGCAGCGTCCTGCCAAGCTTGAGCCGACTGGACCGAAGCAGCAAGGCTCACTGCCGTCAGGCTCCTGCCGGTGCCCTGCGATCCTGCAGAACTTGAGCCGCGACCCCTAGGCATGCCTGAATCTGTAGTCCACTGACCTATTGAACTGGCTTCGTCACCGCTATCCGAATCTTCACCTAGCTCAACTTCATCGTCGGCATACACAAAACGATTGCCAAAGTTCTCAGGGTAAGGATAGTTAGGAGGCAACGGAACCGTGGGAGCACGAGCCAACTCTATCATGTCACCAGGCGGAAACCCTACAGGCCTCTGCACATACAGTGGTTCCATATCTGAAGCCGTAGCATATGCACTCGCTGCGTCATACTGTCCTTGTCCGCTAGGAAACCTCACCTCCGGTGATCCACTTCTGTCTACTGGTCCTGGCAGCACCTCCAACGCTTCACTTGAACCCACAATGTCACCCGACCCTCTAGACGAACCCTGAAGTTCCGGAAAAGCCCTCTCGCAGAAGTCCTCGTAACATGTAGATTCTCCCACATCCCTCTCAATCAACCCTG